CCGTAAGATGTTCAAAGCTTGGGATATTTTTTTTATAACCTAACTCTGCTTTAAACTTATCCACAACTTTATCCCTGACCTGTCTGGTGTGTTCCTTGGCCTTCATGATGCTGTTTGTTCACGAATATTCTCTAACAAATCTATGAGGGCTTCACAGAACAACTGTATTTAATACTGAGATCAAATTACACAGAGGTGGACTGTATTTACTAATTAGGTGACTTCTGAAAGCAATTGGTTTCACTAGATTTTAGTTAGGGGTATCAGAGTAAAGGGGGCTGAATACAAATGCACGCCACACTTTTCAGATATTTATTTGTAAAAAATCTTGAAAAGCATTTATCATTTTCCTTCCACTTCACAATTATGTACCACTTTGTGTTGGTCTATCATACAAAATCCCAATAAAAATACATTTACATTTTTGGTTGTAACATGACAAAATGTGGAAAATTTCAAGGGGTATGAAATAGAATACTTTTTCAAGGCACTGTAACTGTCAGACACACAGCATGCTGAGAGGCTGAGCCAGCTGCTGATCAGGCATCTGGGTGAATTCTGGCAATATGATCGGGATCCTACCAGAGCCTGGAGAATCTGTGTGACATCAGCCGGCAGCTGGCTTTAGCCTGCTGTTGGGTCATTGTGGGTCACAGGAGAGCATAAGTGCATGCACTCCTGTGACACATAAGAGTAGTATTAACCTCCCTGGCGGTATGATTCTTTCCGATTTTTTTGTGCTGAAAGCGGTACCATTTTTTTTGCATGGAAATATGTAGTTTTTTATTGTAGGCTGTAATTTTTAGAAATAACTCCCTGAAATCTGTCCGAACAAGAGTCTATTAAACATCCCGGGTATGATAAAATTTGAAACACTAAATCATAAATTATAATTTAATAAATAATCATAAAAAAATAATAATATAATAATAATAAATTTAATTCAATAATATAATCAAACCAAAAACACTGAAATTTGAAATACAGAGGCAAATTCGCACATCACTGAGCAAAGTCGCAAAATCGTTTTCCGTGTCTGATGATGAATTTCCCCCACGAATCATTATCACTCAATTCTGCAAGTGGTTCTGATTTACTATCGCTGTTCTAAAACCGCTTTTGACCTAAAGGGATGCTTTTTGGACGCCATGGACTTTTCTAAGTTTCCAGGCAGAAAGAACAGTCAAAATGCAGGCAGGGCGCAGGACAAAGCAGTAGGGACAAAATGTATGTGAAATGCATTGAAATAGCAATGACAGCAAAAATGAAATTTTTTTAAAAAATTCAAATTTCCCGCCGTACGTCCCGACGTCACAGGGACCAGAACACAGAAGCCGGATGCCGGCATTGGCCGGAGGAGATGGCCGGGGACGCTGCAGGGGACACATCGCGGGAGCGGGGACAAGGTAAGTGCTGCAGGGACCCCCAGAGAACGCCGCATGGTAAGCCCGAGTGTAGCTCGGGGTTACCGCTTTTGGTATAGAAATTTTACCCCGAGCTACACTCGGGATTACCGCTAAGGAGGTTAACAAAAAGCTTTGGCCATACTTCTCTTTTAACAATTCTCCATCTTTTTCTAAAATTAGCCCCACAGATCAGACGTCCGCTCCAATTAGAACAATCAATGTCCACTGTTTTCATATGAAACATAATCAAGGTAATAATATGACATATCTCAGTTGCTGAAATACTACCTTTGTTTACTGCATGCTGATACAGGATTCAAGGACTAGTTCACAGCAATTGCATTCTCATTGCACAGGAGAAAAAAAATGACTCTAGTTAAATTAATTAACTGCACTGCATTTACTTTATTTTCCCCAGGCATGGCGGCAGATGGAATTTGCATATCGTATGATGGCATCCGCGTGACAGATAGTAATTATGACCGCCTGCTAGTACGAGACAGGAAAACACTATTTACTCTCAAAGACTTGTAGCTCTGCCAGAATTGTTATGCAGAGCCGCGCTGAGCCAAAGGCGACTAAAGCTTTTATATATCCCACTTGGATAGAAGGGGGGGAGAAATGGGACTCGTTCGAAGGTCTACAAAGCTGAAGAAATGAAAAATAGTATCCAGCTGTATTAACCTTGTTTTGCTGAGTAAAATCTTATCACCAGAAGAAAGCAAAGAATCACAGTGTTCATGTAAGAAGAACAAAGAGTAGCAGCTACCATCACAAGGTGACACATAAGGTGTGGAAGAATGGACTGGTAACCACATTTATGCTTCACCGAAATTCTGCCACTACAGTGGATATAAAAAGTCTACACACCCCTGGTAAAATATCAGGTTTCTGTGATGTAAAAAAAAATTAGATAAAATCAATCATTGCAGAACTATTTCCACCGTTAATGTTACCTATAAACTGTACAACTCAGTTGAAAAACAAACTGAAACCTTTTTTTTTTTTTTATTAAGTAAATCACATTCCAAATCATGTTAAAAAGGGGTCAGTACACACCTGCAATCATTTAAAGTGCCTCTGATTAACCCCAAATAAAGTTCAGCTGTTCTAGTAGGTCTTTCCTGACATTTTCTTAGTCACATCCTACAGTAAAAGCCATGGTCCGCAGAGAGCTTCCAAAGCATCAGCGGGATCTCATTGTTAAAAGGTATCAGTGAGGAGTACAAAAGAATTTCCAAGGCATTAGATATACCATGGAACAAAGTGAAGACAGTTATCATCGAGTGGAGAAAATATGGCGCCACAGGAGCATTGTCGTGGTGGAAAATCCACTTGTCAGGCCAGAGTTCCAGTCCTCTGAACAGATTCCCAAAACCTTTTCATTTTCCAAATTTGCATCTATTTTTTGTGTTTTTGGCTGACCACTTCTTGCATCATTGTTGACATCTTCCCACACCTCCTTAAACCACCTAGGCCATTCAAAAACACTTGATTTCTTTGTGGAATGTTTACCATAAGCCTGCTGTAACAGAACTATAGTTTATCTCACACCTTTGCCAATTTTTATGCAAAATGAGATGTTATTCCTCTGCTCCAGATTCCTGTCACTCATTTTCCACCAACAGTGCAACCACTATTTCTTCTACTAATCCATAAAATCTGGTCTGTGATCCTGGAGAGTGCAAGCTAGAATATGTCAGAACACGATTGAGTGCGAATGGTTGTGTGACTCACCATCATAGTGCTACGCCGCAGGCATTCTGGGAAGAAAATTTTCAAGCATCAGATATGGTGAAAAAAAAAAAAAAAAATATTCTAAGCCCCAGTGCTCACATGACACGAGCCCTAAAGGGTTGGGTCAACTTTAAAATGTTTTGCAGTCCATAAACACTATTCCATAGTTTCAAACTAATCTGCTTTTAAAAATATCCATTTATCCTCCTCCCATATCTGTAAGCCTTTTTGAAACACTTCTGATCGGTTTCAAAACTACTCCCGGTCCTCTGTAGGATGAACCAGCCATTAGGGCGAGTGCCCCCTAGTGGTACAGGAGCAAGCGCCATCCTTCTAGGCTCCACACATGCGCATGTGTTATCTCTTCTCGCTGCAGATGACCTCAGCAGCTGGAACGCTCTCTCCCCCGTCGCAGCTGCTGAGCTCATGTGCAATGCACATGTGTGGCACTAAAAAAAAAAAAAAAAAAGACAGCACTCATCCTAACAGCTGGGCCATCCTAGAGAAAAGGACAGGATGAAGCCGTGAAAAATCTAACTGTTTGGGGCAGACAAAATGCCTACAGATATGGGAGGAGCCTACGTTTAACCACTTTGACCCCCAGGCCAATTCTGACACTTCTCACATGCATATAAAAAAACTGCATAACTGCATTTTTTTTGCTAGAATAAAATGGTGGTTATTGGGTTTTTTTTTTGGTTTTTTTTTATGTAGCACAATATTTGTGTAGCCAATTTTTAAAATGCAAGGAAAATACAATTTACTGAGTTTTACTGAACATAAACACAACATATTCCCCACGTTTTTGGTAAAATATAAAAAGATGTTGTTACGCCAAGTACATAGATACCCAACATGTCACGTTTTAAAATTGTGTATGCCCGTAGAAGAACAAAAAATGACAGTACCTAAAAATCTCCAAAGGCGAAGCTTTAAAACCTTTTACAGGTTACCAGTTACAAAGGAGGTCTGGAGCTATAATTATTGCTCTCACTCCAACGTTCACAACAATACCTCGCATGTGTGGTGTGATCACCATTAATATATGCATATGGGACTTAAGTATGAGCACAGAGGCACTTTAATTTTTTTTTTTATCAACTTTATTACTATCACAAGGGATAAACAAATTCCTGTGATAGCAATAAGCATCACAGGTCCTCTTTATTGAGAGATGTGAGGTCTATTAGACCCCAGATTTCTCCTTTGGCCTGAAAGCATCTGATCAAACTGAGATAGGTTTCATCAGATGCTTTACAAACTGGGAAAAAAAAAAAATTGGAAGTGCCGAAATCTTTGTCGCTTCCGGTTTCTTACACCACAAGGGGAGGTGGGTACGAATGTACATTCCTCCACTCTTAGTGCACCCAGGATCCGAGCAGCGGCGGTACAGGGCTCCCGATCACATGGGAGAGCCAGGTAAAGGCAGCGGCGGCGGGAGGAAGGGGCCCCATTTCGTGCCCTGTAGAAGTGATCGAGCGGATGCGTAGCCATTTGGATCACTTGTACAGTGAAGCCTGTCGCTGGCTGAAAATATGTCCTTCAACTTGAGGACATATGGGAACATCCTAAGGGGTTTAAGTGGTTAATACAGGATTAGTTTAAAATTATGGAATAGCATCCATGGACTGCATTTTTACAGGTGAACAAACCCTTTAAAAAAAGGCACAGATCACCTTTTGGAAAAAAATAAACTGCACTTACCATTATAAAAAAAAAAAAAAAAAAAAAAAAAAAACCAAACAATGTATGGTGTGGTCAGTGGGAAGAACGCCCCTTACATTAGTGGTCAGTGGGAAGAACGCCCCTTACATTAGTGGTCAGTGGGAAGAACGTCCCTTACATTGCTGGTCAGTGGGAAGAACGCCCCTTACATTGCTGGTCAGTGGGAAGAATGTTCCTCACATTGGTGGTCAGTGGGAAGAACGTCCCTTACATTGCTGGTCAGTGGGAAGAATGCCCCTTACATTGCTGGTCAGTGGGAAGAACGCCCCTTACATTGCTGGTCAGTGGGAAGAACGCCCCTTACATTGCTGGTCAGTGGGAAGAACGCCCCTTACATTAGTGGTCAGTGGGAAGATGTCCCTTACATTAGTGGTCAGTGGGAAGAATGTCCCTTACATTAGTGGTCAGTGGGAAGAATGCCCCTTACATTGGTGGTCAGTGGGAAGAATGCCCCTTACATTGGTGGTCAGTGGGAAGAATGCCCCTTACATTGCTGGTCAGTGGGAAGAATGCCCCTTACATTAGTGGTCAGTGGGAAGAATGCCCCTTACATTAGTGGTCAGTGGGAAGAACGCCCCTTACATTGCTGGTCAGTGGGAAGAATGTTCCTCACATTGGTGGTTCGTAGGAAGTATGTCCCTTACATTGGTGATCAGTGGGAAGAATGCCGCTTACATTGCTGGTCAGTGGGAAGAATGCCCCTTACATTAGTGGTCAGTGGAAAGAACACCCCTTACATTAGTGGTCAGTGGGAAAACAGCTTACAGACTATGGATGAGCTCAGGCGGATCGGATTGGATTAATCATATGCAGCCAAGGCATTTCCCTTCTATGGAAAAGGCATTCTATCATCTCTGTCCATATCAACACCGCACATGGTTTTCTCAGCAGTGTCCACGGCCACACCTTCTCCACACTCCTGTATTGCAGCCTTACAGTCGAAGTCAACCTTTTTAGGCCAGAACCACTAAAATAGTTTTAAAGTCTCAGGAAACCCTTACTAAAACTAATTCATCAGGGGTCAATTGAAAAAAAAAATGCTCCTTAAATTGATGTCCACAGAGATGAATGCCCCTTACATTGCTGGTCAGTATTATTATTATTATTATTATACAGTATTTATAAAGCGCCAATAGTTCGCTCAGCGCTGTACATTACAAAGGGAGACAGAACATGTGACAGAACAATACCAATACAATGCAAAACATGAGGGGATCGAGGGCCCTGCTCTTTCGAGCTTACAATCTAGGAGGGAGGGGATGGTGGCACAAGAGGAGATAGCTGTGGGGGATGGAGTGGTAGGAAGAGTGGAGGAGGGAGGCAAGTTAGCAGGGGGTGGGGTAGGCTTCCCTGAAGAGATGGGTTTTCAGGGTGCGCCTAAAGGAGAGGAGAGTAGGTGATAATCTGATGGGTTGGGGCAGGGAGTTCCAGAGGATGGGTGACACCCTGGAGAAGTCCTGGAGGCGGGCATGGTAGGAAGAATGTCCCTTACATTAGTGGTCAGTGGGAAGAACGCCCCTTACATTAGTGGTCAGTGGGAATAACGCCCCTTACATTAGTGGTCAGTGGGGAAGAATGCTCCTTACATTAGTGGTCAGTGGGAAGAACGCCCCTTACATTAGTGGTCAGTGGGAAGAACGCCCCTTACATTAGTGGTCAGTGGGAAGAACGCCCCTTACATTAGTGGTCAGTGGGAAGAACGTCCCTTACATTAGTGGTCAGTGGGAAGAACGTCCCTTACATTGGTGATCAGTGGGAAGAACGCCCCTTACATTGATGGTCAGTGGGAAGAACGCCCCTTACATTAGTGGTCAGTGGAAAGAATGCCCCTTACATTAGTGGTCAGTGGGAAGAACGCCCCTTACATTGGTGATCAGTGGGAAGAACGCCCCTTACATTGATGGTCAGTGGGAAGAACGCCCCTTACATTAGTGGTCAGTGGGAAGAACGCCCCTTACATTAGTGGTCAGTGGGAAGAATGCCCCTTACATTAGTGGTCAGTGGGAAGAACGCCCCTTACATTAGTGGTCAATGGGAAAACAGCTTACAGACTATGGATGAGCTCAGGCGGATCGGATTGGATCAATCATATGCAGCCAAGGCATTCCCCATCTGAAGACCGCACATATACAAGCGGCAAGTATATGTGCAGCTGTGGGGCAGAAAATGCCTTGGCCGTTTACGCGGGTGACTTCAGATTAGGATCTGAACAAACTAGAATGCATTTATATTAAAAGACAAAATACTCAAAGACAGCTAAAAATATAACTGGTGTCATGCTCCTTGTTCTGTCAGGTGGCATTTGGCCTCCCATCTGATAGAGCCACAGCTCAATAGAACCCCTAGTAGCCTCTGTCAGAACCCTAGTTGCAAAATGGATGGTCCGAACCTACCCAAGTATATACAGACCTCAGACCAGACCCCATGCCTTCTTCTCTAGCCTGCTCTCCACAAACCTACAAGTCAGTGTCTGATCAACAGTGTGCATGCCCCAGCGCCTAGCTATAAGGAAAAGTTTGACCCGCTCTCAGTCCATCTCCACCACACTGTGGGGCATTATTATTGTAGACTACACCTACATTCAACAGCCAAGGATAACTATGACGGGGGTCCGGCTGTCCTTTTCTGCTCATTTCACGTTTTGCTATATTCAGTATATACAGCATATGACATAACATAGAAAATGTATCATACCTTGGACGGAAGTCTAAAGTTTTCAACTGGACTTAGATCATGGAAGCTGTCTTGTGGACTTTTAAGACCCTAGGATAAAAAATGAAAATCACAAGTTAAAAGCTGACATCAAGGCCTGGAAAACACACAGTGACTGAAATAAGAAAAACTAAATTCTTGCAACATTGTTATAAGTCATAAAATAACCCAGTCCTACCAACCAGCAAGATATTCTGGTAGTTTCTTAGCAGCAACTCCTTCTACTGCCACAGCAGCTGCACTTTTAACTGATGTGTAAAACTATAACTAACTGAATAGAACAAGAAAAAAGAAAAAAAAAAAGGCGCATATGCCTAGTGCATCACCACAAAGCACCATTTATTAATAAAATGGACAGCAATATTGCAAAAGCTGTGAATACACAAGCATGTGGTATATCCTATGATATGGTATCTTAGCACAAGAATACTACAAAGGAAGATCAATAGAACATTGCACGTGTTTTCAGGCCCCGTTCACACCAGAATGCGGTGTGGGAAATCCACCACACTCAAAGCACACTGCACTTGCGATCTACAGAGGGTATCAATGCTAAGTTAACAACTCCCCAAATGCTGGTCCCAAATGCTGTGCGTTTGCCTTGCCCTGGATCGCATGGTACAGAAGTACCATACAATCCAGTTGCAGCGTGCTATCAAAATGAATGGGCTCAAACTACACTGGACTGAACCGCATGTGAAAGGCAGTGGAACACTTTGCATGTTAACAAGCCCTCAGGGTATACCCTCTTCTGAACTGAGTATATACCCCTTGAAACGCGTAGGCTCTTGCATTGTGCAGTGTTGCATAGATCTTCCTTTGTAGTATTCAGGCCCAAAAAAGAACTATGCAGCTCTGCATAGCATTTGCTCTGCAAATGGTGTTTTGTGTAATGTACTAGACCACTGCACCCCTCTATTTTCTGTTTACAATTAAAGAACGCCCCATTCTGAAGAGGGTTTCAAAACTGAGTGATTCTTGGGCACAGCATGGACTTTATTGGCGAGCAAGCTTTCCGTTACTTACATTTTACACATTTTTTTTTTTTTTTTTTTTTTTACTGAAGAAAAGCACAATGGCTAAGTGGTTAGCACTTCCGCCTTGCAGCACTAGGATCATTGGTTCAAATCCCAACCACGGAACTACCAGCCTGGACTTTGCATGTTCTCCCTGTGCCTGTGTGGGTTTCCTCTGGGAATTACAGTTTCCTCCCACACTCCAAAGACATGCTGGTAGGTGAATTGGATCCTGTCTAAATTGTCCCTAGTATGTGTATGTATGAATGTGAGTTAGGGACCTTAGATTGTACGCCCCTTGAGGGTTAGGGACTGATGTGAATGTACAATATATATGTAATGTGCTGCGTAAATGAATGGTGCTATTTAAGTGCCTGTAATAAAATAAAATAAATAAATAAGATACAGATGACAATATAAAAAAGAACATAGTGGAGGTTTATAATTTAGTGTAGTGAGTAAAAGCAAAATGATATCATAATTTACATCTCCTAAAGTAGTTCTGAATCCATTAGCAATAGGAGATTATTATAAAGGAAAAAGAAAACTGCATAGAGCACTTGTCAGACATCGTACCAACAAGAAAGTGAACTCAGCAGAAGTAAACATTAAAGCACTACTCCGGGAAATTTTTAAATTGTCTGTTGCAGTGGGGATGAGCCCGCACTGCAATGGGAAGGTGGAACTTTAGTCAGAAAATTAAGTCCTGCTAGATCACTTCGGCGGCCCCCTTCTGCAGACCAGTCATAGACTCGAACACCGGCAAGGAACTGGGCCAGAAAAGAACAGTGCTGGATCCCTGGCCAGGTAAGTGCCCTTTTATTAGAAGTCAGCAGCTACAGTATTCGTAGCTGCCGACAATTTTTTTGGGTGGGGGACTGAAGAACTGTTTTAGGGTAGAGGGGGTGCTAAAAGCATACTGTGCATTTTTACCACCCCACAACTGCACATCTACACTTGTTTAACCTCCCTGGCGGTATGATTATTTCCGATTTTTTGTGCTGAAAGCGGTACCATTTTTTTGCATGGAAATATGTAGTTTTTTATTGTAGGCTGTAATTTTTAGGAATAACTCACTGAAATCTGTCCGAACAAGAGTCTAGTAAACATCCCGGGTATGATAAAATTTGAAACACAAAATCATAAATTATAATTTAATAAATAATCATAAAAAAAATAATATAATAATAAATTTAATTCAATAATATAATCAAACCAAAAACACTGAAATTTGAAATACAGAGGCAAATTCGCACATCGCTGAGCAAAGTCGCAAAATCGTTTTCAGTGTCTGATGACAAATTTCCCCAAGAATCATTATCACTCAATTCTGCAAGTAGTTCTGATTTACTATCGCTGTTCTAAAACCGCTTTTGACGTAAAGGGACGCTTTTTGGACGCCATGGACTTTTCTAAGTTTCCAGGCAGAAAGAACATTCAAAATGCAGGCAGGGCGCCGGACAAAGCACTAGGGACAAAATGTATGTGAAATGCATTGAAATAGCAATGACAGCAAAAATGACATTTTTTAAAAAAATTCAAATTTCCCGCCGGTTCCGGCACCCGTACGTCCCGACATCACAGGGACCGGAACTCAGAAGCCGGATGCCGGCATCGGCCGGAGGGGATGGCTGGGGACGCTGCAGGGGACACATCGCGGAGAGCGAAGGACAAGGTAAGTGCTGCAGGGACCCCCAGAGCAGCGCCGCATGGTAAGCCCGAGTGTAGCTCGGGGTTACCGCTTTTGGTATAGAAATTTTACCCCGAGCTACACTCGGGAATACCGCTAAGGAGGTTAAAAATAAATAAATAAATGATGCAGTTTAGCTTTAATTTGCCTGCATGCTGGAAAGAGTGCAGGGCAGGGAATGGGAGAGGTGTAAGGCACTGACATTTCATACAGATGATTATTATTATACAGGATTTATATAGCGCCAACAGTTTGCTCAGCGCTTTACTATATAACAGTAGACAATACAGCAACAATACAGTTCAATACAAGAGGGAAAGGAGGGCCCTGATCCTGGGAGCTTACAATCTAAGAGGGAGGGGCTAGTGGTACAAAAGGTAGTAACTGTGGGGGATGGACTGGTTGGGAGAGTAGAAGATTCCAGTATTAGCTGAGGGCAGGATAGGCTTCCCTGAAGAGATAGGTTTTCAGAGATCACCTAAAAGTGAGCAGAGTAGTCGATAGTCTGATAAATTGGGGTAGAGAGTTCCAGAGGATGGGGGAAGCTCTAGATAAGTCCTGGAGATGAGCATGGGAGGAGGAGACAAGGGAGCTAGAGAGCAGGAGGTTGTGGGAAGAGTGGAGAGTACGGTTTGGGTGATATTTGGTGACAAGATTGGTGTTGTAATTTGGGGCAGAGTTATAAATGGTTTTATGTTATTGTTAATCTTTTGAAATGTATTTTTTGGGCAATGGGAAGCCAGTGGAAGGGATTGGCAGAGAGGGGTGGCAGATACAGAACGGTTAGTAAGATGGATGAGTCTGGCAGCAGTATTCATGATAGACTGAAGAGGGGATAGCCTGCAATGAGTACAATGCAATATTTGATTCCTGATCTATAGACGTCCAAACACATCAAATCATCTGTCCATTAGTAGCGGTCCAATCCTGGAGATGTTAATTATCAAGAATTGTTTTTTCATGAGCCGCAACTGGGGACGTCAACGTATTAATGAATGAAGCGCCACATCTTCCTGCCAGGTGCGGTATCAGAACAACAAGTTAAATATCTTGGACTGGAAACGTCTGTCCTGCATTGGAAAGGACCCAAATATTTCTGACAGCATGGTGGCCATCTGGCCAGAATTCACTGGACCGGCTCCAGAATCCAGCTCTTTCTAGTCAATCTGGAATCTTTGAGATTACTATCAGCACTGCCAACCTACTAAACTAGAATTCACAAGGCGACTACAGGGACTCGATTAGCCGCTACAATTCTGTGTAATCTGAATCTTCTCCTTTATTAAAATACTAATTAAAGAAAAAAGAAAAGGAGATATACTGTCATTATTGTTTAGCAAACTTTACTACATGCTCTGCTTATGTCCTGCAT